GGGCGCGAAGCCGGGGCGGCCTCGTGACGGGCTCGCCGTGGGGCATGGCGGGGCTACGGGGGCCCGGAGGGGCCTCGCGGCGGCGCCGCCAGCGGCTGAGCCGAGCCTAACGGGGCTGCGGCCCTGGAGTGAATCACGGCATCGTGGAGAAGCCCCGCGTGGCCCTAACCCCGTCCCGGCGCCCTGCTGAGCCACGTCCCCGGGCRTGCTGGGGACGGGGGCTCCCCCGGGCAGCCCGTCCCGAGGCCTCCCCGCTCCCTCCGCCTGGAAACGACCCCCCGACATCCCACCCGGGCCTGCCCRCGCAATGGGAGCCGCTCCCGCTGGCTCTATCCATAGTTATCCCGGAGACCGAGCCCGGCCTCGCTACAGCGCCTTGCCGGTGGTTGCAGAGAGCGACRAGGTCGCCGCGGGCCTCCCCGGCCGCTCCTCACGAGCCCTGGGCTCCTCCGAGTCCTTCTCGAAGGGAGGGGTCCGAGACTCAACAAATAACGCATAAAGGTGCTAAACGTGCCGCTTACCTCCCCATAAGAGTCTTCTGGAAAATGTGGTGTTGTTTGCTCCTCGCCCATCAAAACTGGGACAAACCCATCCACGTCCCAGCCCTTTGGAAACAGCCGCGGTGGCAGCGAGGAGATGTGCGCATTTGAGCTGCATAACGTAACAAAAAAATGGTTCCAAAAGTGTATAAGGAGCCAAGGAAAGGCTAGGGAAAACRTGGGTCTGTTTCAGCATGGGGCAGGGCCCTGCTGACAAAGGACGCCCAGTTACCAAATACCTTCTKTACCTTAGATTTAGCCGGGGCGGAGGAGGGCCTGGGCTTAGGGAACACTGAAACCTCCCGGACAAATATCCCCAGACTCTGCTGGGATGAACCCGAGCGCGGAAACTGTCTTTAAACTGAAACTGTCTTTAAAGGGTCACGGTTATTGTGGGGGGATCCTGGGACCTGCAAGGGGACAAACATCTCTCCTGTCATCCATGGGGTGTGGAGAAGTGCCGGCCGCTCAGCTCAGCCTCCCGGGAACGCGGTGACTCAACTAAGCCTGGATGCTGTTCCCAGACRTAGGAAGGACTGGAGGGTGATGGAGAGCAGTCAGGCTGGGTTTACAGCGGGGAGGTTGTGCTTGCTGGACCTGCTCGCCTGGTGTGGTGAGAGGAGAGCCGTCCTGCSCTGACTTAAGCTGGGCTTTGGGCACTGCCTCCTGCAAGGTCCGCGCGAGCTGATGCAGCGCGAGCTGGACAAGTGGTCAGGAAGATGGGCTGGAAATTGGCCCAACTGCTGGACTGGGGGGTGTYGATGAGTGGCACAAAGTCCAGCTGGAGGCTGATCCCCGGCAGTCAGCCCAGGGCCAGTGCYGGCCGGTGCCTTCGTTGAGGAGCCGGGTGAAGGCGCAGGGTGCAAGGGGCTCGGAACCGGGGCGATCCTGCAGGTCCTGGTGGACACCGGGYGGAACACGGATTGTCCCAGAGACAGGAGAGGATCCTCGGGGCGTTGCTCGAGGGAGCTGATCCCTCTGCTCGGCCTGAGGACAGTGTGGAGAGGACGGGTCCGCGCAAKGGAGGGCGCTGAGCAAAGACACCTTCCTAGAAAGCACCTGGGCCCTTGTGCCCTTCGTGGTGGGGCAGGTTTCTGCATCTTCCTCTCGCAGAATCTTCCGGGTTTAACAGGGCTTTCCATCCCCAGCAGCACTGAAGCTGATTGAGAGGCAGSCTGAGGGGAAGAGCGATTTCCACGAGCTCGCTTTACAGCCCGRTTTTATTCTCTTACCATCAAAAAGAATGTGAAATGAAGCTAGGGTAATGAGTAAAAAATACTAATAATTTTAAATTTAGATGCATTGGAAGCAAGTTAAATTTCTCCATGCTTTTACTCACCCATCGTTCCCAGGAGGCAGGGAATTCCGAGAGGGACTAAATGTAGAGTAACCTGAGCATAAACCCATCCTTGCAGAACTAAGGAGTCACCAGGATGTTACCGTGGGAGCTGGGAAGGGCAGCACGGGAGCGGGGCCTGGCCGAGGGCCGCGTTGGGAAGGGGTAGGAGCAGGGAGGGAGAACGAGGGCCTGGGCTCCCCCGGGCTGGGGCCCGCTCCTGGTCTGTGCCTTGTCCCCCAAGGTGGCCTCCCTATAGAGCAAGCAGCCCAGGAAGGGCAGGAGCAGGTTGGCCAGAGAGGCTGGGGAGTCTCCACCCTGGGATTATTGAGGAGTTTGGGGCAACTCGCTCCAGCTGAGCCCGCTCCAGGCCGGGGCAGTGGACAACACCTGCAGGGGTCCCTCCCAGCCCTGCTCTGGTGCCATCCCCTCAGCCCAGGGCCTCCACAGCGAGAGGACACCCTTGGGGCACCCAGTCCCGGTGGGCTCTGGCCCTGGATCCACGACCACCGTGGTGCCTTCCCACCGCATAGAAGCCAGGCCTGCCCTGGAAGCAGCGAGGACACTGCGCGGGATCACCCTGATTCCCAGGGGACCCCGTTGCGCCCGCCCGGCCATCACCTCCCTGGGCACCTGCCTCCGTTGGGCACCAGCCCCACAACGTGGCCTCAGCCCACACAACTCGTGCCGAGTCGGGTGRTGTTTCCCATGCCCAGCAGGAAGGGCTCTGCAGAAGAGTCACCTCGCAAAGCTCAGGGAAGGGGGCAGCACCCTCTGCTGCTGTCCAGGCCCTCAGAGCCCACCCRTGGGCCCTGCGAAGCACCCGCAGCTCGGGAAGCACCCACGCACTGACACCGCCGCTCAGTAAAGGTTTGTTTTTATTTCTGCTTGAAAATCAAAATTAGTCATTCTCTGTACTTACATTATATATAGATTTATAGAGACATTATAGAAAAGAATTTTTTGCTTTTGTTTTTCTGCAAAAATTTGTAAATAAAAAATAAAATAAAACAAAACAAACAAAACAGGTGGCAGCTTCTGTCCATCCTTTCTGTCCATCCCTCCGTCTGCTGCTCCTCCTGCCCCTGCCCTCCACAGGGCTTCCCAAGAGACTGGGAAAGGCTCTGAAATCTCACTGCGCTCCCTGCGGCCAGGCCTGGGCAGGGACAGGAGCACATGGAGCTGGAAAGAAGAAATGCCAGCAGAATATATTAATATCTTATATATCACTTTATTTAAGTCCTGGGGACTCCGGGCGGCGAAGGGTGACCGTCCCCACAGCCCAGGAAACTCCTGGGAAGAAACAGCATCGTTTCCAAAGTGCAGGTCCTTCCGGGGAAGGGCAGGTGCCCTGGAGCAAAAGGAAGGGAAGTGGCAGACAAGTCCCGGAGGTTCCTGCCCTGCTCCAGGCCCGGCAGCCGGAGCCAGTGCCGGGACAGGGAGGACGAGCTCCCCAGCAATGTCAATAGCGAAGGGCGAGAGGTGCGAACCGCCCCCTGCCCGGGGGTGCCCGGGGGGCCCCCCAAAGCGCCGGTGTCTGGGGGCAGGGTGCTCTGTAAGGCAGTGAGCGGCGGCAAGCTGCTGGTCGGGGTGGTGCTGCGGTGCGCTGCTGGCGGCGGGCGCCTCCGGGTGCCGCCGCGGCCCGCGCCGGGCTGCCCAGCGGCGCCCCGGCCCCGAGGGACGTGCGGCGCCTCAGAAAGCTGTGCTGGCCATGCTGGCRGGCGCAAAGATCCGCGGGAGGCTGTCCAGGGTCTCCTCCAGGCGCCGGTGAGCCGACTTGCCGTCCTCCCCTGCAAGCACAGGTCGYGCTCCGTGAGGCCGCGGCGTTCCCGAGCTCCGGCCCTGGCCCGCAATGGGGGCTGCGGGGCTGAGCCTGGGTGACACGGCCTCTGAGCACAGGAACAGCCCTTGCCCCAGCTAGCAAAAGGCCCTGGCTGGATTCAGGCTCACGGAGTCTCCAGGGCTCTCGTATTCCATGCGGACCCTGCAAGCCGAGTTCTCCGGTGCAAGGCAGGGACCCCCTGCACCCCGGGCAGGTCGGCCCCATCTCACRGGCGCCCCAAGCAGCCGTGCACACCTGAGCGTGCTCGCTGCAGCGTCCCCAGGGCTCCCCAGCAGCCCTGGACACGGACGTCCGYGCTGCAAAGTGCCCCGGCCACCTCTGCCCTTCTCCTTGCCCCGACACAGACGTGCGCACAGCGGCCATCCCGCAGCGGGAGGCTGTGACGTGGACAAACGGCTGCGAAACGGGACACGAGGGGCCTACGAGGTGCCGGGCGGGCCACGGGGACGGGCTCTAACAAACAGCCAAGACGCTGGGACTCCAGAGCACAACGTGGCTGACAGGCTCTAAGACGAGACACTTGTGAGCAAAGCAACAGGAGCAGCGACCAGGGACGAGGACGGCTCACGTGTCCCAACCTGTGCAGCAGCTGTCACGACCCGGAGGCCTAGAAACCCACTCAGATGGTTCTCTCAGTGCCATCTAGCAAATGATAAATAACAATCACGCTTAGCGCTCTGCTTCCCGCCCTCACTGCCCACCGCCAACCTGCTCCTGCCTGGGCAGAGTTTGGGGCGCTGGCACAAGGGAAGACATGAGCCAGGGCGGATGGGGCTAGGCTAGGCCGGGATGAGCCCAGGACACCCTTTTCCCACAAGGAACGCCAGCGCGTGGCGCTGGGAGATGCCCCTCGGGAGCCCTGCGTGGGGAGGGAGCAAAGCGAGGCAGCAGGGCACTCACCACACAGCATCAGGCTCTGCTTGGCCGCCTCCCGCACGGGCTCCTTGTCCGTTTGGCACAGGTAAACCAGCTGCTCGATGCTCTCCTTGGCCTGCGGAGCCAGGGCACAGGGCTCAGCGTGGCTGGCAGACCCACAGACACGCCAGGAGAAGGCAGCACCGATCGCGGCAGCCCCGTGGCAGCTACCAGGCCGGCATGAGCAGGTCCCAAAGCCTCTGTYRAGCTCTCCCTCGTCCYYSCCCTGCCCAGCCTTGGTCCCTCGTCCTCCCCCTGCCCAGCCTTGGGCAGGAACACCCCTTGGCTCTGTGTCTTCCCTCCCCAGTTCCCCCCAGACCTGTCCCCACCTGCTTCTCCATGACATTTGTCCCCCCGCTCCAGCTCCCTCATATCAGGAGCAGCAGCATGTGGCAGCACCAGGCAGCCCTCAGACACATCCAATTCCTCCACCCCTGCATCCAATCCCTCCAATCCGCCCTGCGGCCAGGCCAGGCCTGTCCCCAACCTGCCATGAGCCCCCGGGCACTGGCAGCTTCCCCCTGCAGCCTGCTGACCTTGAGGCAGCCGAGCGCAGCGCAGCCGGCCACGCGCGTCTGCACCTCCTCGTCCTCCAGCTGCGCCAGGTAGCACACGAGGGCCTGCGGGAGAGCGGCCGTCAGGGCTGCGCCCTTGGCGGCGCCGGCGGCCCCGGGGGCCACCCCATCCCGAGGCCGGGACGTACCCGTTGGCGGAAGCGGGGGTTCTCCGCCAGGCTGCGGAGCTGCGCCGACACGGCGCTCACCACCTTGCTGTTGCCCTCCACGAGGAGCAGGCTGAGCGCCTTCAGCCCCTCCTTCTTGAGGCGGCCCTCGGGCACGCGCTTCAGCGCCCGCAGCACCACGTCCTGGTCGTCCGAATTCAGGTTTTGCGCCAGCAGCACTGCGGGAAGCGCCTGCTAAGCCAGGGTGCCCGGGGCCTGGCGCCGTTGCCCCTTTGCCCCTGCCTCCTCGCTCGGGTGCAGCCTCGGGCACCCTGCAGCCCCGCGGGACAGAGGCACCCTCATGCAAGATATTCCCGGGGACACGCAAGCCAAGGTGCCAGGGCACATGTGGAGAATCAAGGGAGCCCGGGAAGGCAGCACGGACATGTGCTGCACAGCAGGGACACATCAAGCCGATTGCCCCTCCAAGGATGGATGTCTCGGGGCAGGCTGTGAAGGTGCTGCGGGTTGCTCCTCCACGGCAAGGATGCAGGAGCCTCCAGCTCCTGTGCCAGGGCCTCGGAGGAGCGGGGGAGCACCCACCTTCCTCCGCCAGCTCCATCATGTAGGCGTCCAGCACCAGGGCACTGAGCGACTCAAAGTGGCTCCAGTACTGGAAGATGGTGACCTGCTCGCTCTGGGCGCTGCCGGCTCGCCGGGGCAGCCGCCGGTTCAGCACGTCCTCCACCAGCTTCACGCACACTGCGGGGAAGGGCCCAAGTCAGGGTGCGCGGGGGCTCCCCGGGGCGCCTGGCACCCCCGGCCGGGTGGCTGGGAGGTTCTGGCAGTGCCCTGGCCGAACACCCACGGGTGCCGACTCACCTGCGTCGGCCAGGCCGGGGTGCCGCTCGTTGATGAGCGCTGCGTACTGGGTGCTCAGCACCTGCAGGAACCGCTCCACAGGGCAGGTGTAGACATTGGGAGGCTCCAYGCAGAGGTCCCAGAGGGGCAGCACCCCCTCCTTCTGCGTTGAGAACTGCACCACTGCGGGGACACCTGCCGTCAGGCCAGACCCGGACCCCAGGAGGCCAAGCCCGGCCTACGAGAGCGGGGCCAGGCCCAAGGCAGCCCCGCCAGGGCGGCACACGTGGGTGTCCGGGCGCCACGAGCCGTTACCTTCGGCAGCAGAGCCGGCTGCTCCCGCTCGCTCCTCCGTGAGCTGGCACACGATCTCCAGCACCTGCGCCTCGCGCAGCAGCCTGTCCAGCGCGTACATCTCCCGGCACCGCAGCGGCCCGAACGTGCCCAGCTTCTGCAAGGCACAGGCGAGGCGCTGCCTCGGGGCCGCGGGGTGGCACGAGCCCTCACGAGGAGGGACATCGGAGCCGCCTGGTCTGCCGGGGTCCCGCAGCCTCCCCCCGTGCCCGCGGCTCTGCCCCGCTCTCACCAGCAGCAGGCAGTTACAGGCGTTGAGATGAAGCACGAGGGACTTGTCGAGGAACTCGCTGCCCGTGCTCATGGGGTCCGTGCTGCCCTCGGAGCAGCTGCACAGGCCAGCGTCGTCCGCCCCCATCTCAGAGGCGCTGGGGGCCCCGCTGCCACGGCGGGCTTTGCCAGCCCTCCTGCGAGCCAGGAAGAGACGGAGCCATCAGGTCTGGGCAGGAAACCCAGAGCCAGCCCTCCCTTCCCCACCGGCCCCTGCMGGAGAAGCAGAGTTTCTGTAGGACCTACAATATCACTCCAGTTGGGCTGCTCCGGGCTAGGTGAAGGAGCAGATCCTGGAAGTGCAGGGCACACTGGCCGTCTCTCAACCCAGCCCCACGGAGAGGAGACCCCACAGGAATACGGGGCGGCATTGCACTGCCCAGGCAGGTCGGGTGCCACCGCTCCTCAAGCTGGGCCTGCCCTGGGCTGAGCCAGGCTGCTGGGACCACGCTGGGCCGTGTGGCGCACAGAGCGACCACGCCAGAGGGTGACACTGCTGTGCCAGCCACCCCACGGTGCCCTGCACCCCGTCCCGAGCCCCGTGCTGCGCACCTCTCGTCCCGCACGGCCTCCTCCTCAGAGCCCTCCGAGTCCTCCATGTCAGAGGTGTTGAGGAAGCTGAAGCTCTCCAGCGCGTGCTCCACCGTGAGGCTCATGCTGGAGGCCCGGCTGAGGAACAGGCCCTGCTTGTGCTGTGGAGGAGCGCGCGGCTTCATCAGACCTCGGCGTGGCGCCCAGCGCGGCCCGGCACCYGCGTCCCTGGACGGCTCTGCCGTCCTCGTGCCCAGGCCCTGCCGGCTGGGACGGCCCCAGCACCCTCGTCTCCGAGCCCTGCCAAGACAGCGCCACCGCCCGCACCCCCAGGCTCTGCTCCGAGGCCCCTCACCAGCAGGATCTCCTCCAGGTGCTTGAGCTCCCGCTCAAGGGGCTGGAGCTCTGGGAACTGTCCCCGATAGTCATCCAGGGCCGAGCCCAGGAGGCTGATGGCTTCCTCCAAGCCTGAGTCCACGGCCTTCACCCGCGGCACCTCCGGCGGGGCGGCAGGAAGGAGCGGGCTCTGGACGGGCCTCTCCTCCGTGGGAGCGCGTGCCGGGCCTGCGGCCGGCGTGGGCGCTGTGGTGTCACAGCCAGCCTGCCCTGGCACTTGGCTGGCCACCGGCTCCGCCTGCGTGGCCTCCACCTCGCAAGGCTCGGCCCACGACACCACGCTGCGGGGCTTGGCCTCGAGGCCTCTGTCCTGGCCTGCCCAGGCTGCCGGCACCACGTTTGAGGCACCAGGGAGGGAGTCTGTGTCCGGCTCGCCCGGGCCAGAGTCCTCTGGGCTTGGAGAGGGCTCCCACAGGCTCTCCACAGCCTTCGCCTCCATGGTGGCATCCAGGCTGGCTTCGCTGATGTGACTTAGTGTCCGGGAGTAGGGCACATGCCCGTTGGCCACCACATCCTTCCTGGAGCTGCCTTGCTCCTCCGGCCGGTCGGGCAGCCCTGCTCCCGYGGCGCCGCCGGCTCCAGCGCCGGCCTCCTGCTGCTGGGAGAAGGAGATCTCGATGGCAGGGGCCGAGGCCTGCACCTCTGGCTGCACGATGGGCTTGTGCACCGTGTGCCGGGTACTGCCCGACAGCTGGGGGCTYGAGGAATCGTCCGACGACTCCGAGGAGATGGACCAGGCGGTGCCGTTCTCCAGCTCCTCCTGGCGCCGCAGCATGTTCTGGGAAGGGAGAGGACACAGCGCATTAGCCGGGCACCTCCAGGGCCACGCAGCTCCCCAGGGGCGCTGCCCTCACCCATTGCGGCRGTCAGGATACACCTGAGCTGGAAGGCACTGGGGCTGTGGCAGCCCCCAGGCTCTGGGGATCTGGTGGGGCCAGAGAAGAGGTCACCTCCTCCAGCTGCAGGACGCTGCGCCCTGGAGCTGCTGGCTCAGCCCTCTGCCCAGCCTGGCTCCATAGGCCCAGCAAGGAGGAAGGCAGGAGCCTGGCACATCACGTCCACATTGCCCACGTGCTGCCAGCCCTTCAAGTCCCCGACCCCACATGGCAGTGGAGACGAAGCCAGGAGACGCCCCTGCACGCCCCTCGCTTTGGTGGGTGCCCTCCCAGGAGGCCGGCAGCCCCTGGGTGCTGGGGACGCTCTGTGGCAGGAGGTGCCACCCGGGGAACGAGGACAGCTCGGCCCCACCACCAGCCCGCAGGGGGCAGCACCAGCCAGCACGCCACAYCACGTCACGTCACGTCACGCCAACGCCAAGGCCACCAGCACGGGGACACGGACACACCTTCTACTCACTAGAGCCYGGCTCTCACACGAGGGCTCACGGATGGAGGAGCAGGATGCTCCAATGCTTCCGGAGCTCGGGGCCAGGCTCCAGCGGGAGCCGAGGCCACTAGCGCTCCCTGCACCAGCATCCCTGGTGGCTCTATCCCCTCGTGCCAGCCAGGGCCCTGCCTGGGAGGAGCAGGAGCTCGGCCTTCGGGAAGGCCTAGTGAGTAGGAGGCAAGGAGCAGCTATCACTACTGCAGAAGGGCCAAGGCATCGGGCTAAGCTACGGGCCGGCTCCAGCCCTCGCACTTACACGGCCCTGCTGCGGCCATCTCCCRAGCTCGACCGAGGAGACGTCGCCGCAGGAGCAGCTCTGAGACAGCTTCTCGAAGAGTGTCTCCCGAAAGATGTCCAACAAGGACCAGCCGTGCTTGGCGGCTGCCCGCGCCGGGCTCTTGGGCAGAGAGAAGAGGAGCCGTGAACGCGGGAGCAGGAGGGGCTTACGGACTGCTCGTGGGAGGCCGTGGCCTGGTGGATGGAGCAAGGCGTGTGGAGGGACGAGAAAGGGACATCTCTCCTCTGCCGTGCCACCCAGGGGGACCTAGCGGGGCGCACGCGCGTCGACGGAGGGGCTGGGGGGACCCATCCCTGCCCAACGGGCAGCTCTGCCCCACGCCGCACTTACGTAGAAAGCCTGTTCCCGCAGGGACGGCGTGTCAGGCGGGCTCTGGTTGTAYGTGGAGAAGCGCTTGTTCACCGTGGAGGCCTTGTTCACCGTGCTGGCTGCCGAGGGCTGGTCGTCCTTGTCGAAGGGGCTGGTGAGCAGAGCAGGGACATGAAGGGTGCAGGCCAAATGACGGGGTCCCGACCCTGCTCTGCAGCGAGCAGGAGGGGTCCTGGGACAAGCAGGGCCCCATGGCCCTATTCAGTCCTTCTCTGGCACCCCTTAACTGCAACCCAGGACGGGGGAGAACCCAGGGCAGGCCAGCTCTTGCCATGCTATGCCAGGCATCCCAGCCCTGCTGTGCCCTGCTAAAGATGCCTGCTGAGGTACTCACTTCCAGGTCACCTCCAGGCTGAGTTTGATGGTACCCAAGTCATTGATATCCACGGCCACTACCTGAGGTAGAGCCGCGAAGAGGTCCTTAGTCTCACATGACACGTTGCCCACCACGACATGGTTGGCCAAGCTCTTAAGCTCCGTCACCTGGGGAAGACAGGAGAAGAGAGGATGAGAGGAGGGCACTGAATGCTAGGCACCCAGCACCCCTGCTGCTGCCYGCACATCACCACCATGGGACAGCATCCACTCCAGCCTCTCCAGTGAAGATTAGGTCTAGGTCTTGGAGGCAGTCCTTGGAGAGATGCAATGTGGTAGTTGGGTTGCAGAAAGTGGAGAGCCCCCACTGGCTCTCAGTGCTGCGTCTAGTGTACTCTCCTCCCACAGGCAGCTCATGGCTTTTTACGAGTGTTTAGAGCAGTTTTCCCTCAGGGCAYGGCACAACCTCTGCTGCTGTTCCCCTACACGGCTCCCCAGGCCCAGGAAAGGTGGTGCAGTGCCTGTCGACCCATCACCGTCCCTGCCTCCCATGTGCTCTATCCCCAGAGCCCTGTACCTTGATGGAGAGGAACTCGGTGATGAGGGGCAAGAAAACCATCTCCTCGCTGTCCCACACCTGCTTGCTGTTCACCTCAATGCGGCCCCGCAACTTCCACCGCTGCCGTCCGTACTTCATGAAGATCTGGGGAAAGAGCAGGGGCATGAGGGCAGTGGAGACACTGTGCCAGGATGGTGGGTGCTCTCCACACCTCCCAGGGCACCTCCAGGGCTCCCACTGCAGACCCACAGCGCACCAGCCCAGCCAGCATCGCTACCCCTGCTCAGAGCCTGTCAGAACATCCCCATGAACAGCAAGGACCACGGGGATGGAGGRCAGCGGAGCCTGACCCACATCCCAGAGGTCCCACCAACCTCATACTGGTCACCAGCGCACAGGCGGGCAAAACCTGCCAGGCCTGCAAGAGAAGACGGAGGGGTGTCAGTGCCAACTGCGCCCACGGCTGCAAGGGGGCAGTCAGTGGAGTCCCCCTCCAAGCTGGAGGGCGATGTGTGCATTACCTTTCATGCGGACGTGGAACTCGCCCAGCTGACTCTCCAGCTCGCTCTCCAACAGGCACATGTTCTGGGGCAGAGGATGGAGAGCACCCGTCAGCAGCAGCCCCCAGGCTCAGCACCCTCTTGAGCTCCCCCCAGGCCAAGCTCCTCACCTCCGTGTACTCTTTGTAGCCCTTGCTGGCCTCAGCCAGGCTCTCACGTGCCTCTCTGCTGCCCGGRGACCCTGTGCTGTAAGCCTTGACCATGTTGTGGGCCCCATCGCGGAGCCGCCGCTGGATGCAGTAGGCCTCATAGAGCTCATCTATCTGCAAGGACAGGCCCAGAGCTGCAGTGAGGGGCAGGCTGTGGTGTTGGGAAGACCAAACAGCAGGCCAGGAACARCGCTGGCCAGCACCGACCCGCTGCACCTTAAGGCTTCCTTCAGGCAGGCTCCAGGGCACCCTGCTCATGCAGTACCATGGGACCATGGTGGGACAGCACATGGCTGCATCTGTGCCCAGACACGGGTGGAGAGCAGGCTGAGTGGGGCCCAGCACCACAAGTTTGCCTTGGCATTGCTGATGCAAGACTGATGTGAGCAACAAGGCAGGAGCCAGGCAGGGAAGAGTCCCACGTTCCCGGTGCTGCCTGGAGGCTGGGGGCCCACAGGATCACCAAGTTGACGCCAGACCCCAACTCTTACCTTGCTAGCATGAAATTCCAGGCGACGCAGGAAGCGCTCAATTGACTTGACTTGCTGGAAGAGCAGAGGGGACAGTGTCAGAGGCAAGAGCAGCTCTCCTGAGCGGGGCAGCAGGCCAGGCTGTGCCTAAGCTGCTGCATGCCCGTGCTGGGGGCTGGGACATGCCCTGGTCATTGGCCCTGCTGGGTGCAGGGCTCTKCAGAGGGGCAGCTGGTGGCCCAGGCTAAGGGCTAACCCAGGGCGAGCAGTCACCAACCACAGCTTCTGCGTGCAAGAAACTGTCTCTGCTTCATCCSACCCTGCCCAGAGTGCCCCGATCCCAGGCTGCAGACACTGCCCTGCACAGGAGGGAGGGCAGGGACCAGAYGAGGGGACACTGCTAGCGGAGAAGGGCTTGCAGCAGCATCTCCCTGGCCTAGGGCGAGGAAGGCAAGGGTGACAGGACACTGCTCCCGCTTACCTTATCCAGGTCGTAGAGAAAGCCCTGGGGGAGAGAGGAGAGGGATAAGATGCAGCACAGAGCCAGCTCTGCCCAAAGAGCCCCGCACGTCACGCAACCACCACCCGTAGCGTGTCAGAGGGGACATGAAGCACCCAGCCAGGGCGGCAGAGATGTGCAGGACAACAGAACAGGAACCCCGTGCAGCCCAGAGGCTGTCACAGGAACAGGCTCTGCCCCAGAGCACAGAGGGACAAGGAGTTGCCCCACCGTGACCATGAAGCGAAGCGCTGCTCCCCTTATGGCCCTTCTCTCCCGGCTGCACCGAATGGAAGCCAGCYGGCCCAGACACGTCCCTGGGGGCTGTGACACTCACCAGGCGCGAATTCCTCTTGGACTCGCGGATCTGGGTGCTGAGCTTGTCCAGTTCCAGCTGGTGCACCTCCAGGTAGGCTCTGGGGCGACAACACCGCAGCGCTCAGGCCGAGGCGTCACGCGAGGCCACAGTCCACACCTTGCCCACCAAGCCAGCTCGGGCCCTGGGCTCCCTCTTCCCGCCTCCCATGGACCACAGTGGCCTTGAGCACCCGGGCAAGGGAACCCACAGGCACCCCATCCGCTGTAGGATGCAGAGGGTAGGACCAGGGCCAACTCTGCACCGTTAGGTATGTCCCAACTGGGGACGGTCTCAGCGGGATGGTGCAATCCCAGCCCTCTTGTTGCCCTATGGGACCTCAGGAGCTTGCACCCTTTCTCCTGCACTGTTCCAGGACCCTGAGGCACTGCATAGAAGCAGGATTGAGAGGAGAGAGCTGCTAATCCCGTGCCAGCCCATGCCAAGCTGTGCTCTTGCCCTCTGGGGCTCCCTGACTTCAACCACCCAGCCACAGCACTTACGTCAGGCCCTTCTTCAGCGCTTCATACACCTCATCCAGGCGGTTGGGCTGAGGCACCTTGGGCGGCGGGGATTTGTGGGACATTGAGAACATCCTACTGACCCTGGAGCCAGCCTTGCGGGAGACGGTGGGGGTGAAGGACGAGAGGTTCCTGCAGAGAGAGGCCGGCAAACCCAGCACGGCCGGGGTGAACACGCAGCCGGGGGCAACCCCGGGGCCACCCAGCCTGCCAAGCCACCCCAGCCCAAGACAAGAGAGCGCCCCAGGAAGGCAGCCGGGAGCTGGGAGCGCTGCGCCCGGACCTGCCTGCCTCTCCCACGGCTCCCCGGCAGCCAGTCTAACCGGCCAGCAGGGCTGGGCGCCACGGAGCCCCGCGCGGCCGCAGGGCTGGGCAGCGCTGCCAGCCCCGCGTCTGCGCCGCCGCTGCCAGCCTGGGCCCCGGGGCCGGGGTCGCAGCCTCGTCACGAGCCCTGATGTCTCTCATTGCCCCCGGGCAGCGAAAGGCCCAGGCCCCAAGGAGCATCCTGCGCTCCCCAGGTGTGAGGAGCAGCTCTGCAGCTTCCTGAGCGCCAGAACGGGTGGGATGGGGAGCCCACGAGGCCCCAAGTGGGTGCTGTGAAGGTTCAGAGGTGCCAACACCCTGCATGCAGGCAGGCAGAAGCAGCACATGCACCCAYGGGGGCTGCATGGGGCCTGCCCCATGTAGCCACAGGCACTACGGCCACCTGTGCCATCACCGGCAACAAGCATCTCCTCAGGAGCTGCAGGAATCCATCCAGTCCCACCTCTGTTCCCTTCTCCGAGTGACCACAAGCTGGGCTTGCACCCTCAGATCGGGAGGTGTCTCCACAGCTGGAGCCTGCTGAGCAGGGCTCGAGGCTGCTCCTAGGCACTGGAAGCTCTCCCTGGACTTGTGCCCACATAGCTGAGGTGGCCAAAGTGCAGCAAGAGGCACCACTGAGGCCAGACGTGCTCATGACACTGCCTTCTGCGAGGCTAAGAGGTGTCCCTCCTGCCTTGGAGATGCTGGGTGCATCAGGAAGTCAGGAACTGGCTAAGAGCTAGGAAAAAAGGGATTGGGAACATGACAATGCCATGACCCAGCAGGCCATACCCACGGCGTGCCCATGTCCCAGGGGACACCCTCAGCTCCACGGCAGAGGGGAGCTGAGAGCTAGGAAATGGGCAGGGATAAGCAGTGCTTGGAATGTCAGTCCGACTCTCAGTAGGGAGGAGGAGGAAGGATATGATGGCACAGAACTGCCAGTGGCGGTTGAGGATGGGATGGGAATGACTGCTCACTCTTCCTTGCCACGCCGCTAATGGGCAGCCAAGAAAATCTTGCAGCAAAGAGCTTAAAACRACCCAAAGGAAGCCCTGATTCACACCAGCACTCAATTAAACARGGAAACTTGCTGCCACAGGATGCCAAGGTGGTCCAGACGTAAAAGCTTCCAAGTCCCTTCAGCTCCCTTTACTGAGGGTCATTAAACACAATGAGCTGGATACGGGGAAGCCCTCGAGATGCGGTTGGAGCAGGAGAGCAGTCGCATCTGCTCCCTCCTGCTCCAAGGGGGCTGCACGGCCCTTGTCCAGCCTGGGATGACCCTTTCTCCCGACAGGGACGTGGCACCATTGAGCGTGGGGCTGACAGACCCTGCCCTGTGCCCGTCCTTGGCAGCGCAGCAGCCAGCTCTCACCTGAAGGGCCGCTCCACCGACGAGTTGACTCCTGCGAACGACTGGCTCCTATTGATCTTGGCGACGAGGACGCGCCGCTGCGGCCGCACAGACAGCGACATTGTCGAGTGTGACCTGGAGGGCCTCCCTGCGGGACACGAGACAACAGGGTCACCCGTGACAAGGGGGAGCAGCAGGCAGATGGACGTGGCCTCGTCCGCGGGGGCCGCAGGGGCCGGCAGACCTCCAAGGGCCACCACGGCCCCTCCGGGACGCAGGCAGGTTCCCCAGGCCRCCCTGGCCTGGCCATCTGCCCCCGGCCTCATCCCGTGTCCTGCTGCAGAGGCAGGAAGGGCGCAGGGCCGGAGCTGGCAGCCCAGCCCTTCGCTGTCTCCAAGCTCGCTTCCGTTTGCTCCGGCTGCCGGCACGGAAACCCACGGACAACAAAGCGCTCTGGAAAGTCCCCAACTGTATCCAGCAGCTCCATGTCGGGGAAGGAAAGGCAGAGTCATTCCCAGAAGGACCCTGGAAAGTCCGCATGGACAGTGCCCACCATGGGGACGGCCAACGGGGACATGCCCAAGCCCAGTGGTGCCGCAGCCCCTCTGCGCCCAGCGGCGCCGATGCCAAAGAAAGAGCATGAGGAGCCCCAGAAGTGCTGCTCGCCCCAGGCAGCCCCTACGGCAGCTGTGCAGGACCCGGGAGAGGCGCCTGCGGCGCGGCCACCGTCACCGCGTCCCTGCCCTTGTTCCCGACACAGAGCCAGCCACGCTCACCAGGTGGCCCATGGTGGCCAAACGAGCACCCCAGTGCAAACAGCCACCCCCCCCGGCAAGGCCAGGGTGACCAAGGCAGTGTCCCAACGTGCACAGCCACCCTGCCAGCAAGGCCGTGGGGACAAGCGGGCGCCCCAGCGCCAAGAGCCACCCCACTRGCAAGGCCACAGTGGCCAAGGAAGCGCCCTGGCACAAATGGCCACCCCGCTGGCGAGGCCGTGGTGSCCAAGGAAGAGCCCCGGTGCCCATGGCCACCCTGCCCGCGCACGCACCTGCCTGGCTGCCGGCRCGGCCGCGCTGCTCCCCGGCGCGCCCAGGCCATGCCGGCCGCTTCCTCCTCGCCCGCCGGGCCCTGCGCTCCCGTGCTCCGCTGCAGCGGCCCCGGCGTGGCGCCTGGCACGAGCCAGGGCTGCGGGGACAGCTCAAAGGCGGCCGCCGCAGGCAGAGCCCTGCGGAGCGCGGCCGCAGCGCCGCGGCCCCGGCCTGCCGCCCATCCGCGCCCTCTCCTCGGCGCCTGTCCCCCGGCCTGGCACCGAGCGAGCCCAGGGCGCCGGGGAGGCAGCTCCRCGCCAGCCCCTCCAGTTTCCAGGACAACACTGTCCCAATTAAGCTCATTACCCGGAGCTGTAATCCCCAGCAGCCTGTCCGACCTGCAGGGCCTGGGCAGATTACCCTCCGCAGGGCTGTTTAATCAGCTCCCTGCCGGGCGAGCGAGGCCTACGGAGCCGGGCTTGCTGCCCCAGCCGGGTGTTATGGTGCCTAATCCATAGGGAAAGCGCCTGCCGGTGCTGCGGCGGGATGGGCGCGTGGGCCAGGTCACCCTGAGCAGCACGGGGAGAGCGCAGCCCACCCAGGCCACCCTGCACTGAGGATGTGCCCTGAGGGCACAGGGAGGCTCTGAGATGGGTCCTTCAGGCGGGAGCGGGTGCTGAGGGCATTGCCGGGGAAGATGCAGAGGAGCATTCCTTGGGGAGCAGGGTGCTGAGGGCATTCCTTGGGGAGCAGGGTGCTGAGGGCACCGCTGGCCAATAAGGATGCTGAGGACTTCCCAAGGGCAGAAGGATGCTGAGGGCAGCAGTGTCCCTCCCCTGCCCAGCTCTTTGGAAGGTTAACGTGATGCCCGGGATCTCTCATGTGCTCCGGCAGCTTGAGGGGCCAAGCTGGGACACGCTCCCTGTCTGCGTGAGGCCACCAAGACGAGGAGCACCGTGCTGAGCTGCGATCCCCAGGGGACCACGTCCTCCCGGGCCAGCCCAGCGGCCCCCGCCAGACTCTCCCCCGGGTTGCACCGCGTTGCAGGACCACGACGGCTGCAAGAACGAGCGCAGAGAGGCCGTGCTGGCACCGGGGCCCGCTCAGCCCTGGCACTTGCTGCCAGGCAGCCCCAGGAGCAGCCTGGAGCACTGGGTGCTCATTGCCAGCCCTTAGCAGCGCTGCCCGTGCCAGCTCYGTACCGCCAGTCCCCACCGTGAGCCCCCTTGGGCCGTGGTACCGCAGCCCTGCTCCATGCCAGGATGCCAAACTCATTCCTAGAGCCCCTTCCTGCYGCTCCCACAGGGATGCTCCCGCCTGGCATGCCCGGGTGCTGGGGAGCAGCGGGGGGTTCCCGGGCACGCGGGGCGCCTCGTTGCGTGAGGTGGCTGGGCAGGCCGAGCACGGGGGCTGCCGCTCCAGGCATGCTCGGCTCCCGGCACCGGGAGAGCCCCGGCGCGCTGCATTCCAGACATTGCCGAGATAAGAGGTACCTGGCACCGCGGCGGCGGCGCACGGAGCCCCCGGCAYGCTCCCGCATGGGCACCACCGGCCCCATCCCGCCGCAGGCTCCTCGGGGAAGCCCTTGCTGGGGCTCGGCGCGGGGCTGGTGCCAGGCGGAGCAGCCACATGCGTGTCTCGGCCCGGGGGCTCTGCCACCCTGCCCGTGCCGGTGGCCGCGCAGAAAGGGTCCCCGCCGTGGGCAGCCGCACGTCCCCAAGCCCGAGCCCCGGCACCCCCGAGCGCCCCTCGACCCCGAGAGGAGGGCGAGCACTCACGGAGCCACCTCCTGCGGGAGCCTCGCCGGTCACAGCGCCTCCGTCACGGGCTGCCCGCAGCCCTGCAGGGACACGACGGCACAGGGGGACCCCGGAGCCTGCCCGGCTCCCGCTGCCCGCGCCGGCGGCCCCGGGAGCCCCGGTGCCAGCAGCCAAGTGGGCCGCTGGGCAGCGAGCGCCGCAGTCCGTCCCGCGGGCTCTCCAGCAGGATGGCACCTCTGCCCTGCCGCGCTCGGAGCTCTCGGGGTGATTCGGATGCGAGGAATGCTGCGAGCAGCCGCCTCTTGATGAGGCCGGCCGGGGAGGCGGGGGGCAGTCCGACCGGCTGGGTTGGTCCCAGCTGGTTTCTGTTCCTGACACTCAGACACCAGCCTCGGGTCGCTCTTTCGGGTTTATCAACAACTGGGAGCGCTGGAGACGCCCTGAGAGCCCCGACAGGCTCCATCCGTGCCCCCAGCACCGCCGCCGTGGGAGCCGCGCTCTGACCAGCACGGCCAGAACCGCCACCCAGAAAGGTGCGTGTGAGGGCAGAAGCGCCCCGGGGTGCCCGGCAGGGTCCCGCCGGACCCCATGTGCTCAGCGCCGAGCAGCAGGGCCAGGGCAGCGACCGGGGTGCCGCTGGTGAGGGGCTCGGGCAGAGGGGCTGCCGCAGCGCAGCCGCAGCTCCCACGCTGAGGGCACACGGGGACCTGCCCGGGGCACAGACACGTCCCGAGCGCCAGCATGTGACACTCCTCCTCCTCCTCCTCCTCCTGCTGCTGCTCCTGGGCCGAGCGGCGCATCCTTGTTTGTTCAGCTGCATCCCTGCTGCCTCAGCCCCCCAGGCCCCCGCCAGCCCCTTCCGGCCGCTGCGGGGCCCGGGATGCGGCTGTTCCCGCTCTTCCTTCCCGCCCGCCCCCGGCTCTGGTCAGGAGCATCCAGGGATTAGCGGCGGCCGCCCGGTCACAGGGAGCCTGGGAGCGGCCTCCTCGCTGACCTGCTCCGCGCTCTGCCTCCCCTGCGGGAAGCGAGGCCCTTTCCCGCCTGCCCCCAGCTGCGGCAATGAGCAACACAAGGAGCGGAGGGGGATATTTTTTGGAGCCTGACGAACCTTATCCCAGCTCCCCGTGACTCACCGGGGTCAGAAACCCCCGTTGATAACAGGCCTCCCCCGCTGACACAGCAGAGGCTGCCCTGTGATCGAGGCCAGCGACACTGACGCCCACCAGGCTGCCAAAGCCCCAGGCCCAGGGACCCGGCGGCCCCTCCTGCCCCACAGCCCCTGCCGGACCCCCCTGCCAGGTCCGGGGGGCTCGGAGAAGGGTCTCCCCGCGGGACGCTGCCCGGCCCCGTGCACCAAGCGGGAGGGCAGCAGGAAAAGGAAGGAGCTGGGACGGGGAAGAATTGGAGGAAATGCTTATTTACCCCTTGGAGCGTCCCCGAGGAAGGGCAGGGCAGGGGAGGGCAGGACGGACCGCGCACGCTCTGCAAAGGGACTTGGAAGCTCCCGCCCGGCTGCCCAGACCAGGGCACCCGCCGCCCCTGGCCCCTTGGGGACCCCGGACACAGGTCACAGCCCTGCCCTGCCAGAGGGGACGGTCTGATCARAGACTTCCTCGGAGGTGCCCGACACCCCCAGCTTGGTCCCCATATGCAGGAGGGTAGCCCTAGGACACACCAGCTGTGCCCGCAGTGCCAGAGAGGCTGGACACGGCCTCCACGCTCTGTTCATTCTCATTATCTGTACGGAGCAGTTCGTGGCAGAGGAGAYTTGGGGTGCGAGGGGGAAGAAAAAACCCTTTTTCCAAGGACAGACACGTTGCTCTGGTCTCAAGGGGCGCTGTCCTAAGCACCAGTGTGCCTGGAAACGCACACAGCGCCCACCGCCACCCCCAGGGACGGACTCGGGCACCTCTCCACGGCCACGTGCCCCTGCACCCTCCTGGCACCACGTCTCTGCAGCGACAACGTCCCCCCGCTGCCCACCCCGCTGTCCCCGCAGGSACTGCGCTCCTCCCCGGAGCGGCAAGCGGCGTCACCCAAGGACACCCCGCTGGGTGCCCAGCCTCCTGCTCCTAGCACCTGCATCCCGAGCCCGTCGCGTGCCCCGAGCCCGTCCTCGCACCTCCTGACCACGAAGACGCGCAGAGCACAACCCCAAGCCAGGGCCCCCACGGCTCCTCGGGCAGGGYAGGGCTCTCCAGCCCCTTACCCACGGCCCCCCCACCAGACGGACCCCCCAGGGCCTGGGGGGGCCCCGCTGCGGGTACCTTGGCGCTGGCCGCTCATGGCGGGCGGCGGGTGCCCCCGGGCTGGGGCTGGCGCGCCGGGCGCCCGCCGCTCTCTCATGCCGTGTCCTGCGCCGGGCCGGGGGGGCTCCGGGGGCCGCCGGCTCCTCCCACGCTTCCCCTGCCCCACGGCTGACATCAGCGCCGCATCCGCCGGGATGTCCCTTCTGGCGGGAAGGGGCCCTGCCGCCTCCCGGCCGCCCTCCTCCCCTCGTCCCTTCCCCAACACCGGAGTGGCGCGCGCCGCCCGCCGCTGGCACCGCTCCCGCAGAGGCCAACGTCACCCCTGCACAAGCTGCCAGGCTGCGGCCAGGGCCCCCATGGCAGGGGGGTGCTCACGGTTCCTCACGCCAGCTCCGAGGACTCCAGGTGGGCACAGACCCATGGCACAGAGCGACTGCCACCCTGGCACAC